TGCTGACTTACATTGTTTTCTGCAGGCTAAGGTGTTTCAGTAGGAGAATATTTTTATGCATTTCTAAAACTTGCACAAATCAGCCTTTCCCAACTGTTGTATTTGCCTTTTTTTGTTCAGTTTCATTTGCTGCAGCCATGAATGTCATATCAGTGGTTGGGGATGTGAGACTGTCATAGCATTTGTGGTCTTGTAATAATTAACCTGTTACATTGATTTTGAGCCTTTCTTCTTTGTGTTGAAGATTAACAGTTGTCAGAGGCAGAGCAGTATTCCCCACCCCATAAATGAAAAGGCGTGGATGAAGACACAGCAAGAGGAGTAAAAGAGGGAGCAGAAAGCCAAGAAGGTGCAGTTCAGTTCTCTTGATTCCTAGAGGAGCTCCTGCTTTGCTGAGCATAGCTATGAGAGCTTGTGGAAAACCTTAGAGCCTGCTGGTGACTTAAAAGGAAAGAAAAAAGAAAAGCAAGGAAAAATGGTGAAAATACCCATTATGGATTTTTAGCATTAGGTAATGCTAGTCTTTGCCTTTTTAAACTGTTGAAGTGCACTGATGAAAGGAGATTGGTGCTGCGCAGGAAATTGAAATTCAAAATCTGCCAGGGGATCTTTAGATATATCACTGGTAATCAGGACATAGGAGACTCTGGTGGTATTGTTGGTATGGGTCGTTGCTGCTTTGGTCAAGGCAGCACTTGAAGCTTATTGACTACCTCCCTTCTAGGAGCCAAGACCAGTGAGGAGCTCCTGTTCCTCCACATCTGCCTGAAGAGACACACAAGGTTGCTGAAGTGATCTTTTTTTTTCCTTTTAAAAGTGAAATTGTGGATGCCATTTTGTCTACTTTGGTTCATCCTGAAGAACTACATGTGGCAGCATCAGTGCAACTGAAGAGATGGAAATGGGGAAGAAAATATGGTTAGGGAAAATACAAACTTACCAACCTGTCTTTGTTACTCTAAGCATTTCTAATCTGTATTCAGTACTGTTACATGCAGTTTTTCAAAGAGCTGCAGTAATTTCCCATCGCTGACAGGGAATGGATTTTTATTTTTTTGCCCATTTGATTGCTAGACACTATCATGTTTCTGACTATTATTTGTCTTTCTGATAAACACAAGCAATTCAAGTTCTCAGGAGTTTCAAAATTGCATAGGGCAGTGGAAGTGTAGAGCAAAAATGCTATATGAATTGAAGAAATTTCAAGGAAGATAATTTAATGGGAGGATATTATAACTTATAGCAGGTAGGAAACTTCACCAATCAGAAGATTTTTAGAAAGACTTTAAAAGTACTCTTATGACCTTGATGGTAGTGCTATGCCTTCATGCTGGATAGCAATGGTCTCCATAAAATGCAAATTTTCTGCAAATGCAAAAAAGAGCTCTTCTAGTAAGTATGTGCTTGTGTAAGAGTTCAATGACTGAAATTCAATTAACTTAATTTGCACTTCATTGAGTATCCTGTGCATAGATTGCAAGCTTGTCTCCTGATGAGTGGCCATTAGGCCTTGGATGATTAGGGAACAATACTTCTGGAAGGGAATGTTTACAACTACTGGGAATGTAAGACAGTTCTTTAAGTGTCCATTGAAACTTGAAAGGAGTTTGGAAATTCCTCGGAGGCTGAAGCATGTTCATGGTTTCTCTGCATTTCACTCATTTCTGTGAAGCACTGAGGCCTGAGCAAAAGGCCTTGAGCTGAAGTTGACTCTCAGTGAACCTTCCAACCTAACACTGTCTAATATTTGTATCCATGTATTACTGGATGGTGCATCATCACTAGTGAAACATGAAGTGTGATAACAATGTGTTTTTTCTGTGTTCAGTGGCCATGAAATCAGATACCTGGCCTTGTTTGGAGGTACATGGTCAAAGCCAAATCCCTTGGTTCCTCCTTGAGCCCTGGCCAGGCTTTGGGTGGCACTCAGGAGGAGAATGAAACCAGATCTTCCTGCAGAGAAGGTATGGAAGCTTGTTTATATCAGCTGGGGGAAGCTACTATCACACAAAGGACTGGAGAACCCTCCTGGTAACTGGGAAATCCTGCAGGTGCTTCCACCCACAGGAAACGAGGCTTCCGACTTAGCTGTGAGAGAGTCCCATTTTTATTCTGCTAAATAAACAAGCTACCATAACTTCCAGTGAGGGAACATCTGGTTTTTTCTTTCTCCTGCTGGTTTTCTTCCAAAGCCTGGCCAGGGCTCAAGGACAAACCAAGGGCGTTGTCTTTAATCCAACGCTCCCAACCAAGGCTAGATTTGGCCTTGCCTGGGTTCTAAATACTGAAACAGTGTTTTGCCAATGAGCAGATACATGTAATGTTTGGTTGGAAGGTTCATCTAGAGGTCAGCTTTGGCCCAAGGTCTGTTGTTCAGGCCTTAGTACTTCAACATTTTGCTAATGTTACCATGAAGTGTAATAAGTAGAATTCTGCAGCTGTAGGCCTGCATCAAACATCCTTGCTGAAATGGAATTTCAAAACTTTTTGACGTAAACACTAAAATTGAAAATTTGTGAGCATAACAGGATGTTCTTTTTGTTTAAGTGGGGGTGAAGCATCTTGAACTTCACCCTACTTGCAAAAATCACCAGTGATGGAAGAATGGTGGCCATGTTGTTTTTGATGTTGAAGAACACTGATATCAGCCTGACTGAAACATCTCAAAATTAAACAATATGAGGATGTTAAGAAACTGGTGTTTCCTGGTGGGAGCTGGCACTGGCATGGATGTGGGAGACAGATGTTTCCTGATAGAAGGAACCAATGAGTGGTAGTACTAATCATGTATTTTAAATGAATTATGCTCTGCTGAGCTAGCCTAGCAATGTAGGTCATGACAGTCAATCACATTGTCATATAAAAGCCCAAGTTATCTTTTTTTATGGTAGGGATTTCCAGCACATTCCTTTTATGAGCATGTGTGGAGATTCTTCATTTAAGTGGGGATGCTTCTTGTGGTAACTCCTTGGGGCTGAGTGAAAGAAATTTGCCCATGGTCATTGGTTTTGGTGGGTGACCAAAACCAATCTCTTCTTGACAATAATTAAGCTAGTTTTGAAAATACCAATTTAATAAATAGTGCACTACAATAGCAGTTACAGCCTTTTGTACTGAGGAAGGTCATGGAGCAGATCATCTTGAATGGCATCACATGGCACCTGTAGGACAGCCAGGGAATCGGACCAAGCCATATGAGCTTGTGAAAGGCAGGTCCTGCTTGACCAACCCTGCTTTAAGACAATTTAGGGGAACACTCTAAAATGACTTCCCCTTAGTTTTAACCAATCCCTTTCTACCAATAAGGAGAAACAAGTAGAGGAGATATAAGTGGAAAAATAAGTTTACCAAAAATAACCCCAAAATAGTAACAGGCAAAACATCAGTAAGAGCACCAGTTTTTTAGGAAGTTGCTGAAATCTCCCAGGGAACAAAGAGAAACTCAGAATGGCAAAGTGATGGCTTCCCAAGATGGTGCCTACCATGGGGGAGACAAAGGGGAAATGGCAGCAGTGCCCTCCTTTCCCTTTATCTGCCTGGTGGCTGAACTCAGTGAAGAGCTACAACTTGTGGAGGGACTTTGCCTTCTCCTGGGTGGAGGACAGCAAAGCAAAGCCTTGGAGCCTTCTGGCCTCAGCCAGGCACTGCTGGTGGGCTGGGGTCGCCATGCTGTTACCAATGGAGAGGGGAATTTAAACCAGGCTGTTGACAGGAGACAGTAACTTAATTGAGGTGGCCACACCCCAAAACTCATTCTCATTTTGCAATATCTTAAAAATAGCCAATAGGTCTATTACAAAATGAATGATTTGTTGAATAGACCAAGGAAAGCAGACATAAGGCTTAAACCAGACTTGTTACCACACAGGACAGACAGAGAGACACTGCTAGTAGATAGACAATACCGTGTGGTTGAGGTATCTATATTGCAACTAGCAAAGAAATACTATAGATTAGGATTTAATGTATTTTACCATCCAATTGCTGATGGACTGGATGGTAAGATACATTGAATCTTACATCAAATCTTTCAATTTCTGGAAGAATATCTACAAAGATATGTCCAAGCTTCATAGGAGAAGCCACCCTACACATTTCCAGGGAGTGTGTGAGAGGTTTCCATCTCTGTAATAATTTGTGTGGCTTTTATAGTTGTAAAGAGCAGTATTTTGGTCAGTGGCATTTACTTTTCTTAATCTCTTCCCACATCTTCTCTCCAGACCAAGATATTGGTTTTCACTTGGGGGTCTCAGCCCTTCTGGCAGTGATGACCCCTGCCAGGCCTTTGGCCTTGCCTGGGTTGTCTCTTCCATGTGCACCAGCCATCTGTGGTAGGGAGGGACATCCTGCACAAACAGGGAGCTGGGCTGCTCTGCTTCTCTGGGCTCAACAGTGTGGCTGCAGGCAGGTGTTGCAAAATTCACTCTGAAACACTTTTTGATTGGGAAATGCAGCTTCTCGAGTTGCCAGTAGAGCCAAAGGGCGTGCCGAAGGCAAGAGAAAGCTCCACCTGAGCACCTGAACTTTTAAAGACTGTGGGAATGAAGTGTGCTCACTTCGTCTCCAAACAAAAAACCCCACTAGCAAACTGAGAAATACTGTTTATTCAGTGTTGGATAGCACTGAATAAAATCACATTAAGAGTCCTGGTGTTGGGAGGAGACAATGCTAAAAACAAAAAGGAAGGCTGGGAGGGATAGCCTGATGCAATGTGGGGGCTACAGGAGAAAAACATAACCATCTTATAAACATTTTACTGAAGTCCAAAAAGATTAATGTACTGGCTTTCCTAGATCAGCTAGGTGGGTAACCCTGTTGTAGAAGGAAGTCAGGTGTGACAAGCTGACTTTCCCTTCATGAAGCCGTGCTGGCTGTGACTGATGATTGTCCTCCAAGTGTTTTTCAGTACCTTTCAGAAAAATGTTTTCCATGATTTTACCAGACCCTGAAGTGACACTGACAGGTCTCTGCTTTCCAGGGTCCTCCTTTTTGCTCTTCCTGAAAACTGGGGCAACGTTCGCCAGCTTCCATTCAGCTGAGACTTCTCCAGACTCCCAGGATCATTCAAAAACCATCAAGAGAGACTTGGTGATGACATCAGCAGCTCTTTAAAGACTATTGGATGAGTCCCACCAGGATTTGTCAGAAGTCAATAGGTAAAAGGGGGAAATACACAGTTGGAAGTGGTGGAATGGGAATTTGCAAAGAGAAGTGACTACTGGTCTACATGTGCTTAAGTTTACTGTAAACATTATAGTGATTATTGGCAATCTAAGATTAAGGCAATTTCCAACAAATTATCTCCTATGTAACTGCAAAGAATTTTGGGGTAGGAAAACTCCTGTGTGCTGGTGCTGTTGTGACATCCAAAATGTCACATCTGAAATGTATCTAAAATACAGTTACAAAGAGAGGAAAATGAGAATTATGGATGTTTATGTACTCCTTTCTTTGTGTGTCTTTAGTTGATTCAGGCTGTTTTTGTATAACACCATAAATCAGACATGCTGAATTAGATTTAAATACTTTAGGTTAAATGAGACATGCCACTACAAGTCCAGAAGCAGAAACAGGAGAGCAAAATTTTGCTGGCCTGCAGCTGAACTTTTGTCCTTTCAGTTCTTAGAATTTTTTGTTTGCTGAACTGTGTTCTGCAGAGGTACAAAATAGCTGTGATCACAGTGGCTAGCACTGAAATGCACATTTTTTAGGGTTTTGACTCCATTAAAGGGAGCTTTTAGCAATGATTAAGAATATTTTAGAGCTATTGTGAGTGCCTCAGTTACACTTGTTGCAGAGGAGATTTAGACCACTTAAAGAACCACTGGCACAGATAGCTGGAAAAGTGGTTTTATTGAAGTAAAATGATGTAAAAGTGAGGCTTAAGAAAGTGCCCTGGTGAGGTTTAATCTTACTGTACAAATACAGTAACAATAATAATTCAAAGTATTAATACGTCATCTTAATGCTCTATGATACAAAGTTATGCACAATAGCAATCACCTGAGAAACCAGCTCAAGGAGAGGTTACAATGGTGCAGCTGGGTGAGATCAAAAAAAGCTCACCTGGGCTTTCATATTTGTGGAATGAAATGGTTGGCTTGCAGTCAAATTAAATACCATGGAATTTCTATGAAATTCCTTGCACCCACAACTTCATTTGTTCCTTCCTAGTTAGTTCTGGAAGAACTACCTGCTATTGATGTTTTATTCCCTTGGCTGGTGTTCCCAACTTGAATGCATCAAAGCTCATTGTGTCTCCCTGTTCCTATGTGGGTTTTCAAAGAATAGGTTGGAACTAGCAAAGTGCTTGACCTGGTCATGGCCTAGGCCTTTACTTCCTTGTGAGCCTGAGCCAAACTGTCAATAATTTGGTCAAGGAGTTGAGCTCATTCTTATGACTACAGTCAATCCACTTTATTGACTCTAAGAGTGGCAGTGCAGTTACCTCTTGCCTCTGTCATCAGTGTGTGTTGCACTGCACATAAGTGGTGAGGGTACAGTTATTTGATGAGTTGCTTAGCTTAATAATTATAATTGATGCTTATTATATACCATTGCACAAGCAGACACTGATATCATGGAATATTTTTAGGAGAAGGGTTGGAAGTGTTTGTGGCTCATACTCCAGTCCCAGGTGCAATGTGTGCACAGCAAGGAAAAGAGAGTAGCCCACCTGACTAAAACCTGGGCCTTTCATGCCAAAAATTTAGAACCTAGAAGACTTGATATTTGCACTTGGAGGAGGGAGTAGATTGGGTAAAGAAAAAAAGACTGCATGACACTTTCAGAAATACCTTTGTTACTGGCATGCAAAAAGATTCCTTTAAAAATTACCCCAACACTTCACATTCTGGGCAGGACCCTGGCATTTACCAGGAAGATAAAAAATTCCTGGTGTTCTCTGAGGGCTAAAATTTGGAATAACTTCTTGAGTAAGATTCCCATCTATATGTGGTAGGAAAGTCAGCAAGATGATGGTGATGAGAGACATCAGGAGTGGGAGAAATTTCAGCTAATACTGCTCGAGCTACCTTGGCATCAATGGCAAGACTATAGCCATAGCCTGCAGGTAAATGAGTAAAGGTATAATTAATGCAGGTAATGAGTAAGGTATAATTGATGCCATTCCAAGTACAAGCAAAGTGAGCTTGGTAGACCTGGTGGGTGGGACACTGGAGTAATGTCTTTAATGTCTAAACTGACTGTGCATAGATAAAAGGAAAGATAAATGGCATTAATGGTTTTCGCAGCTTTTGTGACTGCAGTATGAGGCAGAGAGGGGGCAAAATTTATGGCTAGGTAGCTGTCACAGGCAGAATGGAAGCTTCACCCAAGGTTTATCACATGTACCCTCCTGTTGAGTCACAGGCTGTGGAAAGGATCCCATTGTTTTCTAAACTCCTCCTCAGAGAGGAGTCTGGGTGTGGCTGGATCCAGTCCTGGCTCCAGACTTACTCAAAAGTTTATGTCCAAATAATTCCACAGGTGTAGTTGAATCCTTGTACAACTTCATCCCACTGGATAAAGGAAGGCAAACCAATATGAAAAAATTATTTATTTATATGGTGCTAATACTGATGATCTTGATCATAATACTAGTTAGACTGAAAGGCCTTAATCAGAATTAATTACTACACAATATAGATAGTTAACTATAATTACAGTGACGGTAAAGCTGACAAAATAATTAAGTAGAGATTGATGTTGCTCACTTATACCAATGTCTGTGGGCATAACTCTTTAACTCAGCCTCAGGAAATAACCTTGGAGGTGTCCCCACTCAAAGGAGGAATCTCCACACACACTTCTAGAAGGGGGTATGTTAAGACTGTGGGAAGCATGAAACAGTGAAGAAAATAGCAAAGCTCAATATGAGATGGGCCCCACACATCAGAGCATCAGTGATCAGAGCAGACATGGAAATCTGATGGAGGTTTTTGTTGCCATGGCATCAGGTGGGAATGTAAAGTGGGAAAGGAGCAGTGCAGTGTCAATACCAGGAAATGTTTTGTATAACTGCTACCAGGTATATCCCTACTAAGAAATACTGCATACGACACAACCACTAAGAACAGAAAATTTGACCACCCACAGCACTTCGCACAATAATGGCTAATAAGGTATAAAAGGACCCTGATTTTGTGTTCAGCTGGGGGATGAGAATTTGCCATGTAAATTTTAGGAACGCATTTTCTTCGCCCTCTGCAGAAGGGGCACCTTTTGGTAAGACCTCTGTCCTCAGCTGTGCTGAGTGTTTTGACGTGAGAAATTGAGCTTGTGATTGCCATTGTATTGTCAGGGCTATATTTAGCTTCTCTGCAGTTTATGCAGATACTGCTGCCACTCCAAAAGAGCCATGTCTGTTGCATTTAGTAAACCATAGTACTTGGGAACCTGGCTGGTTCTTTTGAGTGCAAACGGACTATTGGGGCACCCAGTGCTACGCCTCGAGTTGTGTATTTGTAGCAAGTCTCTGCTGTTAAAAATTGGGACTAGGTTTTTATAGTGATCCACTGTCAGTCAGATGTTTCTGGGCTAACTGTTCCAGCTCAGCAGTGTCAGGTAAATTATCAATACTGTAATTTCTTTGTTGCTTTATCAGGAACTTTTTTACATTCTCACCTGTGCCAGTTTCTGCCAGGAAACATTGTTCCTCACATCCTCAGAATGTTCAACTTGGGGATTATTGAGACAGGCTGGTCTCAGCATTGTTCTACACCAAGTGCAGCATGATCCCCCTTCTCCATCCATCACTGACAGCTTTTACAATCAGGGTATTGTTCGAGCCGCTTTATCCCCACGGAGGCAGAGTGTCCTGCTCCAGTAGCCCTGGTCAGATGCCAGGACCCCCTGGACTTGTGAGCTGACTGGCTGTTGAAAGGGGAAGTGGGTGCAAGTGAATGCTCACTGTTTTTTCAGTGCTCTGAAAAGAGACACGAAGTCCCGACCGGAGAGTTGGCCAAGACAATCACACCCAATGTGGCTACATGTCATCCTACTTTATTCATAAAGTAGGCATATTTCTTTCATTTTTGGCATATTTATCCTTCTCTATACACTGTCTCAGGCCACTAATGCTTAAAGCTCATTGGTTATGTAGCTATATTCACACATACAGGTTAATTTCTGATTGGTTGTCACGCTATAAGCATTTTTAGCTAAGGTGTGCCAAATTAGCAGTTCCCACAACATGTTTGGCATCTGGTCTTGTCTTGGCACAATGCTCATTCTTCCTTGTTGTATCCATCCGAGGACAGTACATGGTCTTCAAAGTAACTCTGTAATCTGCAAGCCAGGGTTGTCCAATTCCTGTAGGAGAATGGCCTTGTTCTGCTAAGAATCCTTCTGCAGAGACATGATGAATTTTGGGGCTTGCAGGATCACAGGGTGTTAACAGCATGGGTCACTGGAGGTAGGGGAGGTGCTTCTCAGAGTTCCCAGAGTAGGGGGAGTTGGATTCAGAAGTACCAGGGGATTGTACTGTGATGCTTCCCTGGAGCATCATGGAAGGTCTGGTCTATGAGTGGTTCTGTCTGTGGAAGTAAAAAAGCTAATGCCTTTATCGGCCTTTTTAGTTAGAAATATCTGCAGCACGGCCTCACTGAGTAAGAGTGGCCAAATTATTGGGGTGGAATACTTGTAAAAGAATGTACTGTCTGGAGCATACCTGAAGCAATCTCTGTTACCATTTTTTCTGGTAGCTTCCTGCATCTTGCTTATGTGCCTGTAGTCCTGTGAAAAACAAGGCATGTAACACAGAGGTGTATAAATATAAACTCTGTCACTGATCTGGCTGGGCAAGGTTCAGCTCAGCAGAGGCTGTTACTTGCCTGCTCTTTGTGGTGCACAGCTCTGCAGCTGCATGCAGTGACAAACTGCTGCAGTGCAGACCTGACTAGAATTGTGTAGGAGTTACCTCACAGCAGAGGTTAGAACCTCTCAAAAACAGATCCTCAGGCTGGCTGGCTCTTGGGGAAGTCACACTTGACTGACCTTGGGAAGGGCTGAAGGGGCGTCTGTAACCTGTGGGCTACTGCAGAGGGTGAGAGAAGTGTTCCCCTCCCTTGTGATCAGCTGAAGGCAGAATTTTGACTGTCCATGAGGACACACAGATGATGATGCCATTGATGGTGGCATCTACCTCCAAATGGAAAGTCTCTGTAAGGTGTGCCCTCCATGGCACCTGAGAAGGATCATCGGGTTCTGGCTGGGGTGCTAACTGTGTGTCTGATCAGTCTGGGGAACCAAGGGTGGGGGGCTTTCCAGCTGATAAAGTGATGGGAGGGGCACTAGGGCCCTTGCTCAAGCCCTGGTGGGAAAAGGTGCAGCACAGGGGCTTGTTGGCAAAAGCTGGTGAAACAAGTGTTTCAACAAGGGGCTCTGTGTGCTGCCTGGTTGGAATACCTGGGTCTAAAGAGGCTTTCAATATTCCTTGGGTCAGGACCCTCTAGCACAGGCTTAAGGGGGTTTTTAACTACCCTGGCACAAGGGGTTTGGTGGTAACTGTGGCTGCATCCTGACAGAGGAGGCAGGATGACAAAACGAGCATAGCAGAAAATAGTTGGTGGTGCATATAGCTAAAACCTTTTAAAAGAAAGGCTAAGCTGGCCTGTTGAGTTCTCATGAGAAAAGAATCATAAGAATGAGAATCAGTTTGCCTAACAATCTATTTTTGTGAGAAAACAGTTTGCACCTGCAAAAATAAGGAGTCTATCCCGTGAGAGTCCATGAAGAAAAAATGTAAACATACCTAGAAAGAAAAAAGTTTGATGGACATGTATGCCAGCCATTACCAAGCAGTGAACTGAGTTTCAATGATTTTCTGACCTATTGGATTCCAAAATGGTGCCTTCTGATACCAGATAAAATGAGCTGTGTGCAATGAAGATTGATCCATTCTGCTGGAAGAAATGAGCATCTCGTCTGTCTCATTCCTCCTCTAACTCAAGGCCATAGTTGGGACTGTGTGTTGCTGGGCACCATGTTAGTGGGCTCTGAGTGGACTCTTTAACTAGTGGGTGCTGCTGGGTCTCAGATGGAAGACAAACTGATAGGACTTTATCTGGCACATGGGCCACATCTAAAGAATGACTGAAAACCAGCCCACTTCTATTTAATCCCAAATTTCTGGGACTGTCCCAGGAAATAGTCAGGGAACCTTGGTCATCTCAAGGCCTTTATCTTTGAGCATATGTTAGTGTAATTTATCTCAAAACAACAGGTGATTCTTGGGGATGATCCTGTGTGGTTCCTCTAATAATAATTCCTGTAACCTACAACTGAAATAATGGCTTAAAAGAACCTCAAGGTATATCTGTTTTAAGTTACAGGACTTAACATGGCAGTGAAGCCCTCCCCTTTGTCTCCAGCCTGGCTTCAGCAAGGGGTTCCTAATTTTTTTTGGTCTTGACAGTGACAATGGTTGGATTTTACTCTTATTGAAGTTTTGTGCTGCATGTAGGCCAAGTTCCTTGTCTAGCAAGGATTTTACAGTTACTAATGATTGGTATCTTAGTATTGTTTGCCTCTCTCACAGTTATGTTCCCAGAAAATGTAAATATCTTAAGTTTCCTCAGCATTTGTCTAATTCAATGATGTGATTTTGTTTTGTCCCCAATCATTTTTCAGGAAATACCCAGCACAGTGTTAGCAGCCTGAAAGGTTTCCCTTGGATGCAAAAGCCTGTTTTCTTTGCTAAGATTCCTGCATCACTGTAAGTATTGCCTGGACACTGATATTGATGTTTTTTGAGAATTTCATATGCCACTTTGTTCTCCTGTCTTCTTTTGTTATTGGTGTCTTACGAGAGCAGAGAAAGTAAGTGAAGAAAGATAGAGCTGTATTTGAATCTTGAAAATAACACCTATAAAATTATAACACGGGGTCTTTTATTTTTTTATAGGCTAGATATGAGTGTTTCTTTTCATTCTCAAATTTGAAATCAGAAGAATCCTAAAAGAGCCCATGAAGGAAAGTCAGGAGCCTTGGTGGTTTGGGAGGAATGGCATGAAGCATTCTGTTTAGAGACTGTCTAACACCCTGCACAAAGTGAGGTGTTTGTTCTGTGCTAGCTAGGTGTCACCATACTGAGAAGAGCTTGTCGAGATGCAGGCAAGCATTCATTCTTGTGTTTTGTCATGGGGGCTTTTGTACTTTTTTGTTCATTTTTGGAGGCTGAAATTGTGTTTGGCTTTGAAAACAATGACTCTAAAAACTTTACAGAGTAACATGCTCACCTGTTTGGGTTTGTTGGTTGTAGCAGTGGGGGACAAGTGACATGATTGCCTTATGCATCTGAAGGAGATCAGTTTATTGTAGAAATCACACACTTTTTATACCTTTAATCTCTACCTGACATAACTGAAACCAAACAGAGATCTAACAGAACCTAACAGAAAGAAGGCACCCATTGGCTGGCCCAGCTGCCATGCTGCTGTCCGTGTGTTCTGTCATCCAATCAGCTTCTGCTTATGTTCTGCCCATGAGTCCTATCATCCAGTCAGCTTCCTGCTTGTGCTGCCCATGCGTCCTATCAGCCAATCAGCGTCCTGCTCTTATGCTGTGTTACAATAGCCTCCTGGAGCCAGGTCTAATAAGCTCTCGGATGGTTATAACACATCCAAGATAGCTCGGCTACTCTTGGAGGCATACAAATCAGCAGGGTGGCTTCTGTTGCAGTGTTGGAAACAAAAAGGTTTAAAAAAAGGCAAAAGAACTAACAGAAAAACCAAGCCAGGTGCCAGATGTTCTTGCTCCTGGTAAAACACTTTACAAAAGCGATTAGTTTCTTTGTCCGCTTCTTTTTCTACTAAATTGCCCAGGCGGGACTTTTTGGCTCCTGTCCAATTAGCTATCCTTAAGTTTGAAGTGAAGTTTTCTAGTCAATGAGGTGCCTTTCTTCACCTAATTGCAGAGAGAAACTTCTGGGCTTCTTTCCTTTTTGAGGGGACAAAGGATAGTTTTGTCACTCCATCAGCGGGGGGCACATCCTACAATGCTGTCCATGCACTCCTCCAGCCAAGGACACTCTCACAGCTGTCACTCAGCTGCCCTGGCAGTGATATCCCTTGCATGTGTGTCTGGAACCTGGAAGAGCAAGGCTAAAGAGAGAGTTGGTGTTATAAGCAGCTGTTCCCACATTTTGGCGCACTCTAACCAATATCTGCTATGTCACAAGGATGTAGGTTACAAACAGCAAGCAATGCTTGTCTACAATCTTCATTTGTGTTTATAAAAGCTAGTTATTGCAACAGAATAGTTCTGGCCTCATCATTGTCGGCTTATTGGGAGAGTGTGGCTTGCAGCCTGTCCAGGAACTGCGCAAACAACTGTGCTGGACCCTGCAAAATCTTGGCAAAAGAAGATAAGGATTGATACCTGTTCCTAGGAGTCACCACAGGGCCTGCAGGGCTAGGTGAGTGATGATATCACATGCACCACGCGGGCAGCCTGCCTGCCCTGCAGGGACTGCAAAGGGACCCTCTCTGCTCAGCTGTGCAATGGTGATTGATGGATTTCTGTCCTGCAGCGCTTCTGCCTGGGCTGTACACAGCTCTCAGTAGTTGGTTAGCCAGACTGCAAACTGCATCGCTGTTAGAATCAGTTTTGTTATGAATGAGGTCCCCTAGGTCTAGTTTAATAAACTACAAACATAAAATTTAGCAGCGGTTTTAATTGAGATAAAATAATACGATCAAATATAATCCAGTAGTTACAAAAAGAAATTTGGCAGTGGTTCAGATAAAGCATAAGCAAAACTGATCGATGGGGGTATGGGGAGGGCTTCCCACCCTGCCTCATGTACAAAAGGCAAAAGGATCCAAACACAGCTTATATACTGTATGCTAATACATATTCATTAATACTTTCTGTGAATCTCCTATTTTCAATTCCTGATATCTATGTCACTATACTATACAGTGCATGCTCCACTTGTTTCTAAGGGGTCTTCTGGCTCTTTGGTGCTCTTTAGAGAGGAAGGCTCATCATCTTCTTCACTGTCCTTTGAATAACCTGGCAGGTCGCGCATGCACATTAAGTTTGGTGTTACATAAGTAAGCACTATGTTCCAATTAAACCTTATTTATTTCATAGATAAGACCACTATTTTAATTGTCCCAGCTTTATTCATACTCAAGGTTGGTCCCTGCTCTGGGAGTTGTCTTAACTTCAATTGATGCCAATTTTGGTTTGGAAGTCTTCCTGACTTCATCCATTCCCAAGGCCAAATCCAACCCTTATATCCTGTTTCCAACATCTCTAATCTACAAAGAAACCCATCTGCTTCACTAGTCACGTATACTTTTCCAATTATTTTCCCAAAATACTGATATAATTACAATTTTGTAAGCAAGAATCACATTCATTTATCTCAGTTTCATTATGCTCTTCCAGTTGTGGGGTGTGAGGACGTATGCCGTGCCGATGGATTCTAGGCAGTTAGCATGATGGGTAGGAGGATAAGCTACTTCCTTTTACCAGCGCCCTCAGTTTGTATTTGTATTACTTTGTAGTCCAGCTCTCAGTATGCTGGATGTTGTTTTGGCACATATATTACTGGGTGGGCTGTAATTCTCCCTCATTCATGGTGGCTTCCTGGCATTTTTGCCATCACTGGACTACTGCATCACCATTTTGGGCAGGGAGTGAGCCCGCTGCCTGCTTATGACGTGGCAATTCTGCACTGAGGGGGCCAGCTATGCAGGGATTTTTATCAGAGTAAGGCAGTTCTGCAGGGCTTGGCTAATCTCAGGATAAGGCAATTCTGCAGAGTTTGGGTCAATCTCAGGGCTGTATACAGGTTCTGGTGGTGCTGAGGGTTCAGGGGACTCAGCTTCTGAAGCCTTATAATGGCCAACATTCACGTGACTTCCTTTAATGGCTGCTGTGCTTCTCCCCATGTAGTGAAAAGTCTCTGTCCTACTGCTTGCCAGGTTTCTGATTGAAGGGGTTCATCAAAAGGAAAATCTTTACATGATTAGACACCCTGCCACCAGGGTGCTTACTTTAACAGACTGCTGATGTAGGAGCCACCATACCTGGCCCAAGCTCCTGCTTTGTTCCAGGGATATTCCACCTCCCACGTTTGCTCCCCGTAGGTGTGCGCACTTTTAAATTCCTCAGTTCCTTCCTGAACTCTTCCTGGATCCTTCCCCGCGTCCTTTTCCGGACTCTTCCTGGCCGGTTCCTGAGCTAGTGGGAGTTGCTACTAGAGCAGTCCACACACCCTGCACCACCCTGTATGTCCCAATTTGGGACAGCTGTCTGTAGCAGTGGGGAGCAAAGCGACACAGAGTCCCTTAAGCATCTGAAGGAGATCAGTTTATCGTGGAAATTGCACCCTTTTTATACCCTTAACCTCTACCCGACATAACTGAAACCAAAGGAGACCTAACAGAAATTAACAGAAAGAAGGCACCCATTGGCTGGCTCAGCTGCTGTGCTGCTGTCCATGTGCCCTACCATCCAATCAGCTTCCTGCTCGTGTGCTGTCCACGGTGCCTCCAGCCAATCAGCTTCCTGCTCGTGTGCTGTCCACGTGTTCCTCCAACCAATCCCAATCCCACTCCCAACTGTCATTCACTGGCTCTGTCCTCCTCCTAACTTCCTCTCCTTCCTCCATTTCCAACAGTCGGTCCTGTAGCTTTGCCTCTGCCCAGGGCCTTCTGGTGAGCATAAACCTTAACCACTCTGATAATTATAACCCCATATCCCACAGCTGGTAATCCATGTGCACTCTGGAATATGGCCCATGAAGGCTTAGGGATATGTGACTTTGTCAGCTCCAGAAGTGTTGCTGTCATCTCCGTGCTTCATGCCATGGAGATGTCATCTCCATGCTTCTCCATCTCCATGCTTCTCCATGCCTTCTCCCACCTGAGCAAGTTAATGCTGCCAACAGAATTAGGGGCTCTTTGCTTGTAGCTCACCAGAGGCAGTTATATTTCTCAAAATTAAACTAGTGGGCCACATTATTATGAGAGATTTTTACTAAACCCAAATTAATTTTTTCCATTTATTTTATTTAAAGGTGTAATTGAGATTGAGTCTTATTGTCTGAAAACCCTGGTCTGTATTTTATTCTATAGGTGTTTCTTATGTTCAGCTCTTAAGTATTGTTTATTATGTTGTGTTATACATGTGCCTTGGGGGTTTTTTCCCATTGTATTTGGATGAAGAAGGCAAATACAGCAATCTATTGTTAAATTAAAAGGTTGATAGATAATAGAATTAACAGAATAATGTGAAGGTTTTTTTAGTCATTAGATTGAATAGAATTGTTAGTTGCTTCTCTTTTTATCCTTTACTGTGTTCTGGAAAACAATTTATGCAACTTGACATTGACAGTATTGATGTCCACAGATTTTGCTACTGGGGTTGCTCTTCTACCCAGCAATTTAGATTCAACAGTTCTGTTCATGATGTATTCTAAATCACTTCTTAGTAACTGAAATAGGTCTTGATCAAAAGGTTGTAATTTCTGTAATTTTTTTTTTTTTAGCATTTTGGTTTTGCGTGAAGAAAAAGAAAACAAGAAAAGATGGACTGGAACGTAAGGCCAGTCCAGAATGCTGATGCAAATACAAACCTGCAAAATGAAGGAGCATGTTTCACTCAGATACTTCCTAATGGACATGGCTTTCCTCAGACAAATGCCAACTCCTCTAAAAATGCCTACACTCATGCTGAAAATAACCAAATCATGTATATGCCAGCTATGAATGTTCCCTTCCCTGCTGTAAATGCTGAAGGATTCAAAACTTCAGATCAAACCTCACCAGGAGCATCTGTAACTGGTAATAATTTCTTTATGTCAAAATACTCAGTTAAAAGGCATCAGCAGATGTACGGACCAGGTCTGAAACCTCCCCTTCAGAACTCCCCTTTGCGGCCAGAGATGACTCCGACTTCTTGGCCAGTGTCTAATCCCTACAGTTTTCCCTGCAGGAACGTGCCCCCCCTGTCCTCCCAGGTGAACACAGGGAATAATGTAAGGAGCGTGCTTGGGGAGCCCCAGTACACCAACACCAACGCTTACACGGCGCAGCCAGAAATGCTGCAGCATAATTCCCTGAGACTTGCAACGCTACATCAAGGTAGCATTCATCCCCAGAATAATTCTTTTCCTCTTCCTGCTTCCGGGCAACATGTCCAACCCCAAATATTTAATGCCAATAATCAGTGTAAAGTTTTGTATTCGGTGAATCAAAATACTGGGACAAATGTACAGCTGGCACAATTTCAGCAGAGTCAGATGGCATCAGAAGCTCCTAGAGGATGTTCTGTACCATCTTTGTTGCCTGCCAACTGTGTTCCAAGGCCTGTAGCACAACCTTCAATGGGTGTACCACAGGAAATGCAAAATGTACCCAATGGATACAACATTAACCAGCAGAGGTACCTGCTGGATCCAAAAAATGCTCCTGGGTTTAACAGTATTCAGCAACACTGTCAGAAGCAGCAACCTGGAGAAGTCAGTCAATCCATCAGGAATGTCTGTAATCCAAGTGGAAGTGTGACAGCAAATCGGTCTTTTAGTGAAAGTTCTGCGTCATCCCCTGGCATTCCCAAAGAACTGCTTGATGTTGTGAAAGAAATAGAAGCTCTTTCTTCAAAGCCACTGAGTGATCCTGCTTCAGTTCCAGAGAGCCAGACTAGTGGTTTGATAAATGGGCCTATTAATGCTCAGATTGCCTCAGCAGCAACACATGGAGGAATTACAAAGGAGAGACTAGCTTGGGAAGCTGAAAAGCTGAAATGTCTTAAAAAAAGGGTTGTCCTGCTTGAAACGGTTCATAATTATAAAAAAAGAATCTATAATGAAAAAAATACTCATTCTCTTCCTCCTGCTTATCCATCTTCTCCTTCTAATTGTCTTCCATGTGTGCCCAAACAAAATGTACAGCCTCCCCCATCTGAAGCAATGAGGACAGAGAGGCCCACATTCATGGTTCCACACGAGGAAAGAAATGACAAAAACCTAGCCAGTGCTGATAACAGAAGATTGGAGGTGACTCAAAGTAGCCCTCAGGTGAAGCAGGGAACTCTTTCATCGAGCTTCACTCCTGTTCCCTCTCAGAGCAAAGTCCCAGCTCAGTTTAATAATCCTGAGAGCACCTTGGAACAAAGGGATGTGCATGCCTTGGCCTCTTCTCCAGGAACTGTGACTTCCTCGAGCAGTGCTTCGTGTTTTGCTCCAGCAGGGAGCTCTGTCAGGGCTGCATCAAAGACTCTGCAAATTGGCCCTGCCAACTCATCATTTCTTCAGTTTGCGCTGAGCAGCACAAATGCACTCAAAGAGAAGACAGCTGGTGCTACTGCTGATAAAATACTGACAAATCTCCTGTGTAGTGAAAAACCACTGCTGGATACCTCTGCCTTGGGTGGAAGCTTGCTAAAAGACAGCAATGAGAAGAACGTAGAAAGTCTGAAAGGTGAGCGGGCATCTGTGGCTCACACAAACTCTGCTGCATCAGAAACAGCTGCATCTGGTGATGCTCAGCTGCAGACTGAGGTCGCTCAGAAAAAAACACCATTCACTGAAAATGCAACCTGCAGCCAGAGCAATTGTAGTTACTCTATGGAAGAGGTGGTTGCGTGTCTGCGCCTGTGGGGGAAGTATTCACCAGAATCTGTAAGTGTGGAAAATAAACAGTCAAATGAAAGCCCCACAGCTAATCAGGCTTCACCCTGTGACCAAAACGCAAAGAAGGGAGAAAAAAATAATGTGCTGGATAGCGTGGATGAGGCTGTTTTGCCTGTAACAACTACCTCTGTGGGACAAAAGCTTGATACACTGACTTCCAGTTTGATAAAAAATTTTGAGCCTCAAGTTGCAGTTGTCTCTCCTTTAGTACTTAGTGAACAAAGAGCACTAAGTGAGCAGGCAGGCAAGATCCCAACACCTGAAGGTAAAACCTATCCAGTGATCAACTCAGACAGCATATGTAGCTTGCAAGAAGAGGGGGAAAATGGTTTAAGTGTGGCAAGTACTGTCAAAAGAACTATAGAAAGTGGTTGGTCATCACCCAGTGATTGTGTTCTGGAACAAATAGTGGACTCACATTTGCAAGAGGTCAAAGCAGCTGATGAAAACCAAAGGAAAGTTAGTCAATCTGCACAAGATGCAAGACAAAATGGGCAGCTTGGATTACAAAACAAGGCTCCTCTTCCTGAATCAGGCACAAATTTTTGTAGTCAAATCTCTCAAGAAGGTACAAGAGACCATGAAGACAAGCAAGCTGTGTTAGAGGCAGGGGATGCATCCACATCTCTGCTGGAAAATAACATGTTTTGTATTTCTAGTGTGTGCTCTCTTGTTGAAGGTGATAAATTTTATAACCCACAAATAGCAGGCATGTTCAAGTCAGTCTATGAGAAACAGCCATCAGAGGGAAACACATCTGGTGCAAGGCAAAAGGAGCAACATCTGGACTTGAATAAAACTGAGCTGAGCAATAACACTGCCCAAAGAGAGAGCTTGCTGCTAAAAATGTTGGAAAAATCACCAAGTCATTTGGAGAAGGAAAGCAGTGGCAATCCTCCTAAAGCAGTTTCTACCTCTGAACAAAGCACGTCATTCAAGGCATCTTCCAAGCATCCTGAAAATTCCCTAGAAAGTCTTGCTAACATAAATGAGAAGTTAGCTCAAAATTCACTGGATTTCTCTGTCAGCATAACTGCTAAAACAAATGCACCCGCTGTTCCAGGAGACCACAGTAAACAAAATTCCATGCCCAGTAAGAATAGCATGGAAAAGGATGTGAACTTTTTTGGAGCGAAACCTAGTAAATATCTAAAAGATCAGCTGCTTGCTCTAGTGAAGGAGTTTCCATATGGCATTGAAGGTGCTGATATGCTAACAAAAGAAGCAGCACAAAATCGCTCAGCGGCTGAAGGGGCAGAGAACCAGTCTCAAAAAGAGGTTAAAATTTGTGACAAGAACTCTCACTTGAAGGACCCAGCAAATCAGACTAAAACTGCAGTGTTGAGATCTGATCAGGTTCAAGAACCGTCTCCTGGGCACAGCCAGTGTCCCTCTAGTGACAGCAAGAGAGAAGTGAGTCAGCAGTCAGAAAAGGCTTCAGCTGACAAGGACAAGCTTGAAGGCAGTGTCCAGCCTAGTCAGGATCCGTGTGAGAAGGAAAAAACCCCACAAGAAACTTCTAAGCCCAGTGAAAAAAGTGAAGATTGCTCTTTAACGGGTGGTGTAGCTGTAGCATATAAAACACCACATTGTCCCTCTCAATTAGAAACACCTGGTTCAGAGAAAAATGATGGTCAACTTTCAAAAGCTGAAAATACTGACTCTGCAGAGACAGAAGAAAAAAAAAGTCAATCTGATGCCTTGAAAAAGGAAAACTGTGCAGTAGGAGGGGACCTGACAATTTCTGAAAAAATCCCAGACAGTATTAGCAAAAATAAAGACATTTGCAAATACGCTTCTGAAATGAACAAAAAACCTAGGCTGAAGGTGGATAATGAATACAAACTGCCTACAACACAGCAGGAAAAGACTGGACCAGTTAATTCCTTTGAAAAGCAGAATGCTGATAAATGCAAAGGCAGCAGTTCGAAGGAACGTCTGCAAATTGACAAAGGAACCCAAGTGTCAAGTAAAGAATTAAATTCTTTCAAAAAAGAGCAAGAAAAAACTGATCATACATATGCAGACAACATGGCAAAGTTGTCCGTAAAGAAGGAGAGAGTTTTCAAAACTGAGTCCCTTTCAAAAGATATAACCAAACCAGATCTGACCATTAAATCCAAAACAGACATTTGCCAGTCTGTGAAGTCAGAAATGGTTGAAATTAAGCTTTCTGAAGTCAGTCAAGGACAAAAAATGAAAACTTGTGAAGAGAAATCAGCTGAAGAACAAAACTGTAGGGAAAAAAAGGAGGTGCTTAAGCATGATGTAGGAATTAGTGTCAAAGTGCAAACAAAACTACCAGCAGAAATGAAACATAAAAAATTGAGTAGTTACCGAGCTGATGCTGTAAAATTCTCAGATAGTAGCACTGTGGACTTCAAATCAAGACCCACAAAATATTCTCAGCATAAATCTGTGAAAGTTCATTCTTTGCAAGAGCAGCCATACAAACGGAAGATGAAGGAAAATATGGTTGGGAAGAGAGAATTTAAGAAAGCAAAGCTGGAAGAGGAAGGATTGAAACAATCCGAAGGAAAGAGTTCTAAGCAGCTTGCACACAATTGTTTGCTGAATGCTGACAAAGCTAAAAAACTGAATGGAGAAAATGGTTGGAAACCAAGGAGTTCCTTAGCAGATTGCTCTGTGCTTAAACTGCAGAGAAAAAGGGCTCGATCTTCTAGCATGTCTAAAAGCTTCTTTTCTAGCAAAGAAAGGCATCTCGATGGTCAAAACAAAGACAAGTGCTCTGAGAAAATGTTTCCTGATAAAAATCTTCTATACCTAAACAGAAGAAATAACAGACTAAAGCTGCATCTTCAAAAGGAACCCAAAAAACACTACCTGAACAGAGTGGCGTTTAAACGTACGGCACAGGAACGCATCTATCTGACAAAATTAGAGACATCACCTGTCAGACCTGTCTGGCACAGAACCACCAAAGTGTCAAAAGGCAGCGACTCAAAACAAGATGTGTCTGTCTCGACAGTTGAGAAATCATGCAAGCAGGAAGTCCTTGAGTTCAAGCTGTGCCCAGAGATCCTGTTCAGGAATCCAGCCCCTGGTGAAGAAAGCTTAGCTGCAAAGAATTCTCCAGAAAGAGATAAAGTCGTTGTAGAAGGTATGATGTTCTCTTAAATATTCATTTGTAAATAAAAAGTATGTGTTCATTTTTAAATTAATGTTGCACAAAGCTGCAGGGAGTGAAAACATGGGACTGTAGATGCTGAAGGCTGAGATATCCCAACTTGCTCTCTGACAGACCACAGCTGTGTCTCCAGCTGAAAAAGAACATGGGAGTTTTCCTTCAATTTTCTCTAAGTGTTAGAGAATGAAATTAGAATACTTAAGAACATTGCAGTTTCAAGTAACTTCGGGAGCAGGCTTTCTAAAGTACTTGTAGAAGTTGTGGAAAGTAGATTCCCTTGGTGTGGTGAGGGTGATCTGGTCAAAACTGGTCTTATCAAAGGTGATCTAATCTGTATTCCCTGTTCACCTGCTTGTGCATCAGTCTGGCTGGGCAGAGGAGGGGAGAGATCTTTTGTGACATTGAGGAATAGACTGGGCTTAGGCCAGGTGTATCCTGCCCATAGTCCCCATAATCTTTGCCATCTTTCCTTTAAACATCCATTTTTCCTTCTTCCCTACCCCATTTTTCAACCTTTTACGTGGTGCATTCTGAAGCATATTTATGTCAAATGTTGTATTTTATTTTTCTCAAGCTGTATATATCAGCACTTGGAGTCATTTTCATACCCAAAGGAAATTTCCTTTTGCGTGTGCTAGTATATGTGTTAGAATTTAATGCTGAATAGAGGCCAAAACTTGTGATAAAGGAACCTCAGAAACATCTTGTGAAAATTTCTTTTTAGGTGTCAAGAGTAAAAAAGAAGATTGGTTAAAATGTGAACCAGTGAAGCAAAAGAAACTGGAAGAGATCTCTACAGGTGAAGTGACTTCTGAATGTCCCATTTGAAATACAAGTTAAATCCTCTTCAAACCGCTTGGTTTTAAAAGTTCCTTTACAGTAGTAAACCTTAATAAAGTATTTAAAATTATGATTTACCCATTCTCCTGATTAAATGGATACCACAGAATAGACTTACAAGTCTCAAAGATTTGTATAGCTTTTTATTGCTTTATGAATATGTTGTTGGAAATGTTGAAATTTTCCTGTGCCATTAACTTGGATGTAGCTCTAGTAACATTTAAATACAGTTTTCAATTGTATATAAAGACTCTTGCATGCTTTAAAATATAGAAAGTGATGTAGCAGAATCTAGTGCAAAAACAGAAAGTGATTTTAAGTGAAAATAAATCTGGCTTTCACAGTACTTTGCTGCTGTCCACACATAACACCTGTGCTCACAAGTTCCAGGACCTGTGTGTCCCAGTAGTCTGGACAAGATAATCTGTGTGACACCCAGAGGAAAAGTGGGGCCACTGTGACATCTTCCTCATTTCTCTTGAATGGCAAATTGCTTTTTGGATGGTCTTTTATACCCTCTAGGAATCAACTGTCACAACAGTGGCAACTTTCATCTCAGGATCTTGTTTGTTCCATCCTTTGTAAATCTTGGGTGAGGTTGCTCCCAGCTGTCCTTGTTTCTTTGCTTTAGGTGCCTCTCTAGCTCTAATTTGTTTTTTTTAGTGGTCTAACAGGAAACAGAATGCATTCTGTTGCCTTCTTGCCATCTGCTTCTTAGGTTTAGAACAGAGGGCTTGCATGCTGGCACTTGTGCTGTGGTGTTGCAAGTAACACAGTCTGCATCCTGTGCATCTTCTGTTGCTGTTGCCTGTGTCCTTGGGCTTTGGTGTCTGCCATCATTTTAGCCCTTCCTGTTGCTTCTTCTCTTCCTTTCACAAATGCATGTCTTCTGTCATACCTCTCTTAATACTCTCCAGAAATCTCTCTTGTGAAGACACCCAAATAGCCATTTTGTGCTTAAAGATGCATTGGAGATTGTTTTAAATCTGAAGTGCTTTAGGAAGGAAGTTTGTGGCATCCTTTTTTTGACCCTGGAAAGTCTTAGGTACCACATGTGTAAGGAGAGGAGTCCTGTGAGACTCTTGCTTTAACATGCTTGTCTGTCTTGCAGCTAAGGACAGTATTCCCCTTGATACAGCTATACAGATCCTGGAAGGAGAAGGAGAGACTCTTCACATTCCGGTCAAAGACTCAAAAGAGATGTTTCAGACCTACAGGAAAATGTATCTGGAAAAAAAGATGCAGAAGTCTTGATAGCACTCCTGTATCAAAGGTCTTACTATTACTGAGAAAAAAATGCCAACACTAAGATGATTTTTTTTTCTGTTTACTTCATGTTGCTGAATAATTGTAAAAGCCCACAGTTTTCTGGTGGGTGTTGAAGATTTCCTCCCCCATTTCCTCATATTTGTGAATAATTACCATCTTATTCTGTATTTATTGTCCAGATATTCTTTGGTGCTGTAAATGCTGTTTTAAACGTATTGTTTCTTTTGGCATTTTTGGTTTTTTTCTTATTTCTAAGATAGAGTAGCTCATTGAATCTTGACCAAAAAATAACAAACTCATTTATACTGTCATAGCCTGTTTTCTTTCCTGATTCTCAAAAACTTCTACTTACTATACTTTCCATTGCTGGCAGTGGAAGAATATTTCTGCTGCAAAGGGACTGCAGTGGATTCCCAAGCATTACACTTCTGTTTCCTTCCCACTTAGGGTAGTCTGATGGTTGTGCTTCTGTTTTTGTAGAAACTTTTTTTTTCCTAAACTGGGACTAGAAACATAAACCCCTCAATGCAAGCATACAGGTCAGGGGCATTTATGAAGTATTTATGCTGCTACGCAGTTTTGTTACATTTCTTTTTGTGGAGCTTGCATGAGCTCTGAGTTGACAGTTTGAACACAGTGCTGCAGACCCTTAGTTTACTGAAAACTTCTCTTGCTTTTCTTTCTTTGCACTTCTTTTGTTGAAGTGCAGGGAGTTCAGATTCACTCTTGTCTGGATTATGTTGCTGAGTTCAGCTACACTGTGATTAATTTCTTTGTTTATAAAGTGTTAGATTATGTTTGCTTACACATTCACTGTGACATAACAGTTGTGTTTGTCATTGGCTATCTTTTGTTGAAGTGCCTTTTCACTGTTACTCAAAGTTTAAAATCAAATCGTATTTTTACAGAGATTTGGTACTTGATTCTTTCTATCTTATTAAACCTTTATGCTGAACAAAAAACCTGTAGATACCTTACTGAACAATTTTTATACTTGAAATAAACTTTTGAGGACTACACCTTGTCTTTTTTTTCCTAAAAATATGAAGTTGTGCTTATTGCAGTTATATGGGAATTGAAGATATTCCTTCAGATGAAATGCAGCTTTAAAATAAGTGATGGATCTTCCTTGTTGTAGTTGCAAGTTTATTAGTTTGTTTCTGTCTCTGGATGTCAAACTATTAGTCTGTGGGGAATGTTGCCACTGGAGGATTTTGTAGTAATGTTGTCAACTCTGAAAAGGCTTTTCATTTTCTTGAGAGTTTAATTACCTGTATTATACTGCCTGCATGAAGGAAGATTTATTGCAGCCTTCAGTGTACCTAGTACAAACAAAACAGTTCTTATCAGGAATTTAATCTGAGTTTTGTTCTGCACAATGATACATGAAGCTGACTTCAATGCTTGAGTGAATTCTTTTCAGTAGGAAATTATTTGATCCATTGACCCATGATGTTTACCTTCTAAATATTTGGAGAAGTCTTCTCACTAATCTTGTGCACCCAATGAGCAAGAATGCCAGTTTTTGAGTCCCAGTGGATGCAGCTGTGTCTCCTTCCTCTCTTACACCAAGAAGTGCATCTTGGCTCTGTGACAGTGTTTACATGGTGACTTGTGCCTGCACTGATCTGGTATGGCTGGGATCTTTCTTGCTGGAATCTCTCTGATAAATTGCTATGGCTCATAAGTTGGCCACTGTCCATTCAGACAACTGCTGGAAGGAAAACATCTGTAAGGAGCAGTGGTAGGGCTGCGAGGAGTAGCTACAGAGAAAAGCCTGGAGACCATCTGCTCCACAGAATGAGCCCTGTGGATATGTGCATAAATGTCAGATGTAAACACCAGACCTTACTGTGGTCATGCTGGCTTGACAGACAGATACAGAGCAGATAAAACTGTCTCTAACACTGCCTGTCTCACCTGTGGGCATCTCCAGCAGCTGCAAGATAAATGGGCAGCCGCAGGAGCCAACAAGAAAAACTTTGCATAGGGAAACCTGGTGCTGCTTCTCAGCATTTCTGCTCTTCATCTCATGCAGCTGGCTGTGGTTGAACCTGTTCTGATGTGCAAGTACATCCAATCCATATTTCTCCCCTGATAAGACCTTAAACAGCTACAAGATGCATGACTCCCTAAACCTTAAATTTTAAAACATTTTGACAAAAATATACTTTTTATAGAAAGAGTATGGTAAAGAGAGCACAGGACGAAATGGACATGTTTAATATTTGGAGGTGAGTATTCAACACACATGGTAAATTCTTAGGGTTTAGTGGCTCTGTAAATTTCACTGGTTTTGTGGACTTGTACTCATTTAGTGCTGTGATGGTAAGTTTCCATACACAGTGTACAGAAAGTCTCTCGGGTTAGAAAGTGCAGTAAGATGAGAAGCCCACTGCTGCCTGGGAGGGAGCTGGGTTAGTGCAAGGGGCTTTCAGCTGTTCTGTACTCCTGGGAGGCTTTGTGGCAAGGGAGATGAGCAACTGCAGAGAGCTGTTCTGCAGTGTTTTGATGAGAGCCTCACTCCATTGTTCTGTGTGTTTGGAACAGAAGGGCCAAATTCAGAGTTAATGAGCACTAGACATGGATGCTATTTATACCTGCAAGTGCTGTTTTCTATATGGAGCTGGCCAGAGGTCTTCTGGGATTCCAGGAGAAGGAATCCCTGTTGTGTTTTTGTAGCCCTGCTCTGTCCACTGCCTCAGTGAAAGAACTGAGTGTGTTGTACCCTGCAATGATTGCAAGAGGGGGAGGAGAGGTGCCTGGGGTGATGGAGAGAAGCTGGGCCTGGAATGGGGGTAACCTGTCATAAACATTAAATTAATACTAAATATAAAAGGGTTACCTATGCATAAATATTTCTTTTTTTTTCCAAAAGAAAAATCCGAATCGCAACTCAAATCTTTTTAATAATTGGAAATTAATTAACTTAAAAATTCCCTGAGGCAAGTCTCATCCTGTAGCAGCATGCTCTGCCTGGAGTGGGGGTAAAACAACTCAAACCTGTTTGGAGAGCTCTGAGTGGTGAATGCAGAGCAGGGTGTCACATTGCTTACCCCCAGAAATGAGCTGAAGCACCAGTACCACAGTAAGTATATCCACTTGCCTTACTTGGGAGACTTAGTCTGTGTGTTCATGATAAGATACAGAAGAGGAATTCTGTTCTGAAATAACTGTTCTCCTCCTGGCTTCTGTTACTGCAGTGCCCCTTTCAGCAGGGACAGTTTCTGTTAAAGGCTTGGTGACAGGGTGGATTAGCTGTCATCTCCCAGAGAGTGGCTGCCTGTTAGCAAGGTCTTAACACAGACTGGATTGCCAGCAGTTGTTGTTAGCTCTCAATTCTTTGTCCTTTTTGTGTCATGTCCTTCTTTATTTGCTTATCATCATTTGAGTCAATCTCACTTCTTGAAAATTAATTGCTGAAGAAGCCAATCCAGGTTTCTCTAGGGGAGGTTGACTGATTCCTGCACTCCCAGCGTTTTTTTTAGGAGTCTGCCATGAATGTAGCAATGGGTTTCTTTCCCTGATAGATCAATACTGTGGCCTGTGGAAGATACCTCTCCTTTTTTTTTTTTTTTTTTTTTTTCAGAGGCTCATTAAAATTATTATTAAACTGAAATTTTTCATTAAAAATAACCTCTGCACTCATCCAGGAGGTTTTTGATAGAATGCAGAAGCACAGATGCAGAGAAGAAAAGCAGTTTGTAAAATGTTAGACTGAATGTTTAAAGTTGCATTTCTCCTTTTTGCTGCATGGCCTCATATCCTTTGTTTACAACTTCTGACAAATCCTCTTCCCTTCTCTCTCAGTTTTTTAAGAGAAGCTGCAGGCAGTGGAGGGTCACAGAAAAGGGACCACTGAGCTGAGATGGGCCAGTGATAAAATTGCCAAAGCAGCACAAATATATTTAGCATTTCTTCTGTAGGACAGAGACTGGCCAAATCACAGACTTACTATAACTGCAAAACGGTTAGAGAATTGCTGACCTGGAGGTAATATATATAGCTAATTGCTGATTTAACATCTGGTAAGACCATAGGGTTGATGTTGCAAAATCCCAGTGCTTGAACCAGCTGCAGAGAGAGAGAGAGAAGGGATCAGTTGTCTCTGGGTGAGCCTGGGGAGCTGACTCCTCAGGAAAGCAGCTGTGGGATGGGGATGGAGTGGTGGGCTGGGGGATTCACATTCTCTGAGCATGAGAGAAGCAGTGAGAGGAGCAGAGATCAAAAAAAATTCTTATCTCATTTACTGCTCCTGTGTTTTGAAACATGCAGAATGTGTTAGTGTAGGGGGATAGAATATAAGAAAATAAAGGCAGTACAGAAAGTAATCTTACTCCTAAGGAGTTGCAGCTGAGCCAAAGATTAGGAACAGGCCTGACTTTACCAGGCCACAGCTGTAGCCAATGAGAATTAGAGTGCTATAAAAGAGTGGGGTGGCTGGGTGAGAAGGGAACTGGGGTTGGTTGACTGCTTTGTGAAGAAGTCAGTGCTCTGAGGAGCTGCCTACAAGAAACATCAAGGAGGTGTGAAACTCTTGCAATAAGGAGGCAACAGTATGGAACCTTTGCAATATAATCACAACATGTTAGAAAGTTATTTGCCTAGAAAAAAATTTACTTAAATAAATTCTAATGTAAGTATTTTATTTTCTTAATTGATCTCTACAAACTGTGTCCTGAGAATTGGTCAGGAGACAGTCAAGAAATTTTGTTGAGTGCTTGTGCAGTTTCAGTTTAGATGTAGTGTAATATAGTATAGGATAATATAGTATAATAAAGTAATTAATTAACCTTCTGATATCATGAAGCCCTCATCATTCTTCCCTGTGTTGGGGGCCTTGCTTATCTGATAGTGGGCTGTCTCTGGGACAGACTCAGAGCTGACTCCCCAGGAATGATCCTTCATTCCTTCCCTGGGATGATTGAACAGTCTGGCTCCATCAGTGAGCGATACAGAAGGTCACAGGTCACTACAACCTAGAGGATGAAGGGGAAAATCAAATACCAAGA